GACGATTTCAAGTGTTAGTGACTTGGATCTAAATTTTATATTTGTACATATTTAATAAATTTTAAACATCAAATACATTGTTTAAGAAAAGCTACTGGGTTCGGCCGAACCCGTAGCTTGGCTTGTGCGTCCTCCCCTACTTATAGTCACACAAATGTTTTGGCATGTTTAAAACTACAAGTTTCAAAAATTCAATTCTTTCTTATAATCTACGGACGAGTATTTTATGTACACAAAAAGAACAAATTAGACTTGGTGAAGCAAACATGTGGAGACATTCAATTCAGACAGTGCCCCAAAGAAGACTTAACAAAAGCTAGGGCAGCCCGGTGTACTAAGCTCTCACTATGCGCGGGGTCGGGGAAGGGCCAGACCACAAGGGTCTATTGTACGCAGTCTTACCCTGCATTTTTGCAAGAGGTTGTTTCCACGGCTTGAAACCGTGACCTCCTGGTCACATGGCATCAACTTTACCAGTTACGCCAAGACTCCCCTTCAACAAAAAAAAAAAAACACTTTGACACTTTGACAAAAACTAAGTAGCAGAAAACAAGCATACAGCACAACTAGAAGAACAAAAAGACAAAACTACACAAATTCTAGTGCAACACTTTGACAAATTCTACAAATTGGGCATTTTATAAGACGAAGGTTCCAGGTTTTCAGTTGAAGAAGGGATCAAAATTACCTCCATTTGAAGCAACCTTAGCTGTAAATGAGCTCAAATTTGAATAAGTATACGAAACGTTCAAGTTCCTAACATGTCTTTGAGACAAAAGGCAAGAACCAGACTTCTCAGCTACATATAATCCTGTAAAGAGCAAAGCACAAAAGTTCAGCAAAACCAAATTCAGGACCCAAACACAACTGGATGAATATTACAAATTACTGCACAATACCTGCTTTGGGTTGTGATGTAAATTGATGAAAAGTGAGAGTAGAAGAAGATGGAGCTTGAAAAATCTGTGTCATTCTTTAGTTGGGTTAATGTGTGTTTTCTTTCTGTTCTGTGGGAATTGAGGTGGAGTTGAGAGTTCGAGTGAAGGGAGCATTTTGAGCCTCAAGTTTTAGTGTCACGTCAAATGATCGTTAGGAATCTAATCGCTTTATCTTAGCCACAACTGACACAACTGATCCAAACTGCCATATATAGCAAGGGAGGTTTTTTATTTATTTTTTAAAGATCTCTTGATTTTTTTTTTTTTTTTTTTTTTTTTTTTTTTTTTAAAGATCTCTTGAACTAGAAATAGTATAATACATGTATAATTTATGTATAACTTTGTATAATCAATATACAATCTATGTATAATAATAATGATCTTATCCGGCTCAAATTAGGCGATATTTATTAACTCTTATCAGTTACAACCGGTATAAGTACTAAGTAATTCTGATCACTAAGGGGTCGTTTAGTTCAATTAAGGATTATAAACTTGGGATTAAAACTGGCACTATAACGTGAATAATTTATCCTACTTTTTATATGGGATAAGTTATACCAAAAAATTTAACTATAAATTTTATCAATCCCTTGAACGAAACAGCCTCTAGGGCTCGAAAAAATGAAAAAAATAATTATTTAAAACTTTTTCCTGCTAAATTTTAATTTTAATTTTTTTTAGAATCTTCACCAACTTTATTGAGTGAAGTTTGGACTATTAAAGGTTCTTTATTTTTTTCTTAACATAAAAGTTATACTCTTAAAAGCTGAATTAAAAGTTAAGCTATGATTGCTCAGAATTAATAATATGAAACATAATATATATATATATATATATATATATATGTATATATTTTACACAATTCTACCTCCCGAAATGATAACAATCTCATTTAAAATGAAATAGGAGTATCGACTAAGAACTCACTATTCAACACTTTGGAAATTTGGAAAAAGAAAGGGGAAAAATGACTTTGGAAATTAGTAAATCTAGATTTTATTTCCTTATATTGAAATAATAAATCCAAGGAATAGAGAAATTAAGCTAAGCCTCTTACTTGATTTTGATTGTTTCACATGATTCGGGGTGAAATTCAAAAATAGCTTAGATTTACAAATGGTAATTGAAAAATAGCCACAGTTTCAAAAGTAATTGAAATTTAGCCATTTTTCATGTAAAAATAAATTTGAGCGAAAACACTATTCAAAATCCGAAAAATATTCCAGCATAATATACTGGAGTTCGAATTTTTTACATGTGAATTTCCAATATATTATGCTGGAACTCCAGTATATTATGATGGAGTTCGAGTATAAATATACTGGAACTCCATCATAATATACTGGGGGATTTGCAGTCGTACCCTATATTTGTGCCACCTTTTAACTTGTACCCTATTTTTTAAAATTATTGATTTGGTAGCTATCTCACAAAAAATCTGTAATAATATGACAATTACACCCCTAACAAAAGATATAAAATGATCTCTTCCTCTCAGCAAGTTTATAAAAAAATCAGAAACTTGTCCAGATTCATCTTCAGAATCACACTTGCATGAAATTGTTTCACCTTAAAGCTAAAATTTCATACTAATGTAGCATGAAGTTGTTTCATGTTGAAGCTAAAACTTCATGCTAATATAGCATGAAGTTGTTTCACATTGAAACTAAAACTTTATGCTAATGTATGCTGAAGTTATTTAGTTCATTTGCTAAAACTTCAGACTAAACATGCTTAAATTTTTTAGTTCATTTGCTAAAACTTCAGACTAAACATGCTTAAGTTTTTGTCTTGTAGTATGTAATTTTCCAATGAGTTTTTGCTAATGCGTGTTGAAGTTATTTTGTTCATTTGCTAAAATTTCAGACAAAACATGCTGAAGTTATTTAGTTCATTTGCTAAAACTTCAGACTAAACATGCTGAAATTTTTTAGTTCATTTACTAAAACTTCAGACTAAACATACTTAAGTTTTTGTCTTGCAGTATGTAATTTTCTAAAGAGTTTTTGCTAATGCATGCTGAAGTTATTTAGTTCATTTGCTAAAACTTCATACTAAAACATGCTGAAGTTTTGTAACGCAGTCTACAGTTTTGTCCTGAGTTTTATCCGAAACTTCAGTCTAAACAAGCTGAAGTTTTTTAGTTTATTTGCTAAAACTTCAGCCTTAACATGCTTAAGTTTTTGTCCTGCAGTTTGTCAATAGTCTTTTATTAAAGAAGGGCAAACTCGTCTTTTTAAAACGCTTTTAACAAAAAAATGGGTACGGATGCAAACGAAAAAATAAAACGAGTATAAGTTAAAAAGGGGCGACCAAATAGAGCGCCCCATGTAATTTTTACTAATATACTGGAGTTTCAGCATAATATACTGATCCGACATAAAATGCTGGAAGTTCATTCATAGGTGCTGCAATCTCCAGTATATTATGCTGGAATTTTCCGTGTGCTGGAGTTCCAGCATAATATGCTGGAACTTCACACACAAGTGCACCAATCTCCAGTATATTATGCTGAAACTTTCTGTGTTGCAGCAAAATAGTGATTATTATTTAATGACTTTTCAAATGCTGGCTATTTTTCAATTACCAATCCGAAAACTGGCTAGCCCGTGCTATTTTTACCATTATTTGATGAGTGTTTAATTATTAAGTAATATTGTTTAAAGTAGGTATATTCAGTTAATGACTAATTATATTATACATTTATATAAACAAATTATACTAGTGAGGAGGATTTACTACCCGATTCTTCTCTTAAATAGTCCCTGTAATTTGTCATAATCCAATAAACATCCTCAAAATACTGTGAAAATAGGACGGGCTACACAGTTTTCGTACTGCTAATTGAAAAATAGCCAGCATTTGCAAAATCATTAAAAAATAGCCATTACTTTGCTGAAATACGAAAAATTCCAGCATAATGTGAGGGAGTATGGAGCTCCTATGTATAAACTTCCAGCATATTATGTTAGAACTCCAGCACACGAAAAGTTACAGCATATTATGTTGGATCATGGAGCTCCTGCATATAAACTTCCAGCATATTATGTTGGAACTCCAGCACATTATGCTGGAATCTCATATGTAAAAAATTCGAACTCCAGCATATTATGCTGAAATTTTTTCGGATTATTAAGCGTGTTTTAGTTCAGATTTTACCTTACACGAAAAATAGTTAAATTTCGATTACTTTTTAAAATGTGACTATTTTTCATTTACCAGTTGTAAATATGACTATTTCTGATTTTTTTCCCTAGAATACTCTGTGCAAGGCTGCAATTCATTATCAAAATCTACACAAATGGCATCTTTTCACGTATTTTCCATAGCCGTAACAGTATGAGAGCTCGTACCCCTTGACATCTTCAGATAGGGATCTCACGTAGAGAACAAAGGCTTTATGCCAAATTTTCAAAGTGTGAGTTCTGATGGGACACATTAGCACTCTCGAGCCGTACTGTATCTAAAGATAGAATCAAGGTTGATATGGAGCCATACGCAATTTCCTAGTTAGCCAAGTGTTGGAGGAAGTGAACTCTCTAGCAAGAAGTTGTACCAAAAAAGTAAAAAACTACAACAAACTCAGAGTAATACCACAAAGTAGGATTGGAGGAGGGGTAGAGTGTACGCAAACTTTACCCCTAGAAGACTGTCATTCGTTTGTTACAAGCTAATGCTACCTTTAAGGAACTAAACAAGAAATGATAACTAAGCTATAAGGAGCTTCACTAGCCCTTGTTGCTGACCATACATCAGCTCTCTCAGTAACAACAGAGCACAGTGACTGAATCCATATAGCTGAGACACCTGCTATTTCCTAAACGCTTAGAATAAACTCCCTCCAGATGGAGAATAAGGAAAAGATATAGAGTTAAACTGTTATAAAACTAACACAATCAGTTTATGGCCACTGGCTGCGAAAATAAAGTCTTAATGATGATTTACCCGTGAACTGAAGTGACAAACTATACAGTTATTTGCCTCTCTTTTTTATTTTTGGGATTGGAGAGGGACAGGGAACAGGGGTTAGAAATTGTTTTCATTATAAACCATCCCTGGTTAAGCTAATCAAACCAGTCTGCAATAAAACAAGTCCTATGTCCAAGGTCACAATCACAGAAGCAAATATACAACACAGAGGAAAATAGTCAACAATCTCTCTATTGCCATTAATAACATTCCAGATAAAAATAGAGAGCATATATATACAATAACACTTAGCAACTGCTTGCACAATTCGCTAAATCGTCAATCAGATAAGATAATGTGCTAAGATAACTTTAACATATCAAGCACCATCATGCCCAACTCCATATGGTTTATTTCATAAGCCAATCAAAAGAAGCAGCTGACAAAAGCCCTGCAGGTTGAAAAGAAGATATAAGGCGGTCAAACTTGAAGGTACTGGTATACTATGCTTAATCAATAAAGAACATTATGCCATAAGAAAATTCTGTTCCTAACCACAAAGCTACTATTTCATCAAAAACTTCTGAACATTCACATTACTTTAAATACTGGACCAAAAGTAAAAGCATAAGTAAAAGTTGCCCAATATACCAACTTAGTAAGCATACACCACCAAAGAATGCACTTAATCAAAATAAACACCAAGTATGGTGAAACCATGAACTTGTCTGAATGTGCATTATCCTGCTCTTGAGGTCCTATCCATTGTAAAGTTCAGCATAATTTACTTCAACATTCCAACAATAACAACTAAGGATATTTTGAACTCCAAATAACTGAATCTAAGCTAGTGTTTGCTTCATGAAAAGCGGACAGGTAGTTTCCATTTTCTTTTTCACTATCTACCATCTTTTCTCACAATATTTTCTAGCTTCCTCTTATACAATGTTTTTTTTTCTACTTCACAGATTTAAAAACGTTCGTTTGGACTTTGGACGAAGAAAAAGAAGTGTTCCTCTAGCCCATTTGTTTAAGTTTGNGTTATCCATCTTGAAAAACATTACCAATTTTTTTAACAGAACTTTTTTCTGCATCCTAACTCCTAAAATTCAAGAAAATATAACTAATGCTAGTTCACATTATCTCCAGGTCGATTTGACATCTTTCTAAATGACTACTTCAACCTTTCACATTTCAAAAAATATATTTTAAACGTGTATGAAACTCAATACAATAATAAACTCAAAAAAATACTCTCAGTGCCCGTGCAGGTAAAGGTAGAACTGGAATAAAGCATTACCATCATTCCAACGTAAATATACTAATCCAAGACTAGCTGAACCAGATAATTTCAATGAAAGCACCATCTCATTTAGTTTCTTCACTCTTGATGATACCTTTCAGACCATAGATGTGTCTAGTTTCCAAGACAATAAATGTGTCTCTCAGAAAGGAAAAGAGAGAGAGAGATAAAGATAAAGATATATATATATATATATATATATATATGAGAGAGAGAGAGAAGAAGAAAAGGGATGAGGGACTGAAGACACCAGTAAATCAAGAGTTTTCGTTTCCGTGTTTTCTTTGTCGGAAAAACTCGCACAATATAACATTTGCATTATCTATATTGGCTAACATTTTTTAAAATTGGAAATGTTTCACATGAACAGTGTTAATCAACCACTTTTCCATTTCTTTAAAGAAAAAATTACAACAGTGAATTTAAATTCTCTTGCTTTAATAAACCATATATTTTGAGTTTCCCAAAATTCAAGTCAGGAATTTAATCCCTTCATGTCCAACTGTTTGTCCCACCAGTTTATTATGACAAAACAAAGACTAGCACACATCAACAGAAAATATGTACTCAGGAGAGGCAGATGGACAAAAGGCACTCAACGTGCCAAGAATTCATAACCCCATATACTGAAGAATAGATGTTAAGCAAAGCTTAGCAAAAGGTTGTTGTAGCAACTTTGACTTCACCAAAAAATTTAGATGATCAACGCAACAAAAGAAACTGGAAAGTAAAGACTTTTGATATGGTAAATATTCCTTTACCTTAATATTTCTGTTTGTTTTTCTTTCTCTCTTTTATTTTTATGTTTTTGGTTGGGCCGGAGGGGAGAAGTGGCAGTTACACTGTGCATAAATCATAACCATATCATTTATTAGTAACCCATTTGGAGAGTACAGCTTCCTGAATTGAGAAATAAAGGAGCAATCATGACAAACAGGTCATTAACAATTCAATGATTCAAGTATCACTTATGTCACCAATCACACATACAGCATAAAGGAAGAACCATGGCCCGTAAAACTACTTTTAGAAAGTCACCAAAGAGCTGGAAAACATGACATTGACAGTCAAACTCCATGGATAATTTACTTTGTTTGTCTCCATGATTCTGTCATTGTCTTTTTTTTCCCCTTCTTTTTTTCCCTCCCAGTAAGTCGTGATTCCAATACTAAGTAATTCAAATAAAAAGGATGGTTCAAAAACTTTTACTCATTAGTTGAAATACTGTGGAAAGACCATATGCATGAAACTTGAGTTCCCAACAATGAAATAAGGTAGTGTTATGAAATGCTTTTGAGCAGTCTAGTAGTGCCAAACGAATATGTGGATCCTAAGCAAATTTTATGGAACTCAGGGAAATATTACAGCATGCTGAGAAAGAACTTTCAAAAAAGAAGGAACGTGAGAAGTACCTCTTAGGAAGAAAAAAAGAACTGCTATACAGGCAAGACTTCTCGAAAACTGCAGGGGGGAGTGTTCCAAAAGCCAAATATGACAATTATTTCTCAAAATTGATTCCTAGTAAATCTATTAAGTATTAAGTAAATATACCTTTAAGCGAGTAACTTCAAGGAAGATTTTATTCTATAAGACTTTTTTCATAAGGCCTTTCTTAAAGAAGAGCTCTCAGCCTCTCACCAAACCCTAAAGATCCTTTCTATCAAGATAAATACAACCTGAAAAGGTTACATCCTCACGGAACTCCGAAACAACCATAAATTTGTAGTGTTTATGCGCGTAAGATAGAACTCTTTATCTACAGAACTAAGGCAAATGAAAAAAAACACATGCCTTCTTTATTCTCTTCACTTCTTTTTTTGAGAAGAATTCTCTTTTCACTTCTTTACTCATTATGACACCACAACAAACTAAACCAAAAGACCAATAGGAATTTCTGCAGAGTATGAGTAGCTTAGTTGAAACTTGAAAACTTGAAATTAAAATACCAATTCTCGTGGAAAACAAAGAGCATGAAATTCATTGCATGACATGATTAAAGCAGGTATCCAACATATCCAGACTGGTCAACTAATAAGACAACCACTCATGACACCACATATGTTTCCAGAAGACAGACATCTATTAATCACAATTCACATACACCTGAACTGCTAAATGCTACTGCTTAACACACTTCTACCTATTTTCACTCTTTTTCCTTGGATGTAGCACAATAATCATATCTTATGTTTTTTAATGTAGTTAGATCCTTTCTTCAACAGAGATTGAGGGGTTCTGATAAGAACCAAAAGCACAAAACAGCCAGTTTCTATAAAGCTAAAAATGGGGACCTAAAAGCTGATACACGATTTGCTACTCCATTAATAAACACAGTATGTCTCCTATACCGAAGAGGAGTGTCCAATACAAGATTCTGTGTTGGTAGATGCAAAATATATCACAGCACCCATTACTGTTTTGTGACGATGCATACCAACTTAGCATAAAAAGCCAAGGACAGACTGCTAACTACACTGTCAAAAAGTACCCAAAACTTCAGCAACTGAAACCCAATACTTCCTCTCTTTCATTTTACATAAGAATATTTGACGCACAATCTAAATATGTTTTGTTTCAAAGAAACTAAATATTTTAACACACCAAAATTACCTTTAGAATCCCGTGGTCTTCAACAATCATGTCATTCCATACAAAGGGCAAAAATGAGGATGTTAAAATTCAAGAGTTTCCAAATATAGGAAAGTGTCAATCTTAGGATAAACAAAGAGATCCACAACTTAAGAATAAGCGCATAATAGTTCTCAAAATTGACCTAAAAGTAATAAACAACAATCATATTGACGCAAGAGAACGTCACCCCATGACATAACTTCACAGAAAATATGAGAAGGTAACAAATTTAGTAAATCGATAAATACCTCAGGAAGAGGAATGCTTTTTCCCCTCACACTCAGGACTTCCATCAAAATTCTTAGAGAGAGCAATTAGCAGTAACCATTCCAAACTCAAACACCTATTTTCACCACTGGATCTGATACCTGTAATACCTCACCACTTAAAGAAAGCTCTCAAGGCTAATCCCATCAAGCTCAACAATACTGTTCTCAACAATTTTACCACTGATTTTCTTGAAATAGGTGGGAATGTAGTTATCCGGAGGAAGGGTGATGGAACACTTGTACCCAAAGAAACCACGAAGTTGCAGGAACAGGTGTTTAGAAAATACCCATTGACATTCTTGGGAAGTAGCCCTATGAGGAACCCCTTTGATTAGTTCCTTGTGCGGCCCCGATGGTGTCAGGTTGTAGAGGATATAGTGATTTTCACAGATCATCATCAATATTGTATTTTCCATCTGAACCAGCAACTTGATCAAAATAGTTCTACAACATATTTTTTCTCTTGCATTCTTCGTCAATTGTGCACGATGGACATATGTCAAAATGACTAGTAACTGATTTATCATTATTTATATGGGTAGTTTTACCTAAACCCGGCGTCCTAATGACTGCAATGACATCTAGTACTGCAATGTCATCCTCCTTAAAATCTACAATTATTTGATTCACTATTAATAATGAGTTGTTTTTGGTTTGTTGGAAGAGTTTACAACATGAGGTCCTATTTTTAGAATCTCATCAGGTAAATTGGAGATCTCTTCTTTGATAAGCTTGATCGTTTCTATGGCACTAAAAAATGAGTAAATAAGATGCAAGAGACAATTATCTCTAACAAGAATTGAATTAGTGACATCTTTTGCCTCATATACCACATGTAAAACACATGTCCATAAATCTTTATACAAATCTTGCTCAATATTACCGAAGAAAGATCTAATAAATTCTAGATCTTCTTTCGCCAACCCAATTTCATTCTTCATCAAAGCAATTGAATAAGCTTTAGAATTAAGCAATAATTTTAGTTTGAGTAAATGATTAATAAAGGGTGGTCCATTACTCTTGGGGACGTACAATTGAGGTGAGTCTGCGCTTTCAAGTAAATATGTTTGAGATCACCCTTTAGAAATTCAATATTTTCCAACAAGTCAAGAGTTGCAGAATTTAATTTGTTTCATTGATACTCTTTTCCTTCCTTGCTTTCTCTTCTAATTCGCGAACAAGAATTGATATCTCCTTGGTAAGTGCTCCAACACTTGCCAAGAGATCAAATAATTTGTCACAATGAATAAAGTCTTTCGAGAATCAAATATTCTCTATGAATGTCGGAGAAGGCTTGTAGGAGTTACTCAGTGAGGCGTCCGGCATTCGGCATTTGCTGACTTTGATGCCAAGAGGAATAATCTTCAAGAATTGATAAGCTAGCTTGAAATCCAGTAGAGGGACATCAAGTTCACGTATCTCATCAAATTCATCCATTTCATCAAGTTCATCTACTTCGTCAAGTTTCTATTTCATCAAGTTGATCAGCTAAAAGGGCAAAACAGAAGTATCCTACTCTTCCGGCTATAAGTTGGAATGAGATGAGACGTATTAAACTATATTGACTCCGGGTTTACAGAGGATAGAGAGATGATGAACAGGAGAGTAAGACCCATAAGATGTTTCTAGAAGGACTTTATTTATCATGACAAATTATTTCATCATGATACCTAATAAGGTATTAATTTTTGTACGCGACAGAGAAGAGAGATCAAGGAATGAAGAGAGTATCAATGAATCAAGGAATGAAGAGAGTATCAATGAAACAAATGTAGTTCTCGACTTGCTAGAAAATATTAAAATCATAAAGGAAGATCTCAAATATGTTTACTTGGGAGCACTAGATTCATCTCAACTCTGGTTTTCCAAGAGTGACAGACCACTTTTCATGAATCTTCTACTAAAATACTTTAAATGATGATTTACTCAATTCCAATGCTCATTCAATTGTTATGAAAGGAAAAAATCAGACTGGTGAAAGAAGATCTAGAATTCATAAGATCTTTCTTAGGGAATGTTGAACAAGAATTGCATAAAGATATGTGGACACGTGTTTCAAATGGCATATGAGGCAAAAGATGTCATTAATTCAGTTCTTGTTAGAGATAATGATCTCTTGCATCTTGTTTAGTGTTTACTACCTTCTTAGTTTCATAGAAAAGATCAAACTTATCAAAGAAAAGGTCTCCAATTTACCTAAGAAGATTTCTAAGAATAGGGACCTCGTTGTTGCACACTCTTCCAACAAACCAAAAAACTCATCATTAACAACTGGTCAAATAATTGTAGATTTTAAAGAAGAAAAAAATTGGATAATTAGAAAGCTCACCAGTGAATCAGTAGAGCTAAATTTCATTTCAATCATCTATATGTCATGTTTAGGATACTCCAGCATACAAAGGATATGATGCTAAGTCAGTTATTCGTTATTACGACATTTGTGCACGGTGCCCAATCGACCAAGAATATAACTGGGAAAATATTATTTAATCAAAACCCTAGTTTGGATTGGAAATACAATAAGGAAGTTGATGTTGCTGGGAAAATCGTTATATCCTCTGCAGAGTGGTCAACCAACAAGACCATCAACATCTTAAAATGTTTCCTAAAGACAAACCTCTAATAATCAAAGACCCATGTACTGCTGCTAAATACTACTCGTTAACAGGCTTCTACCTTTTTCGTTGTTTTTCCTTTAGGGGTATGTCTGGTATGATGGAAAATGACTTCCAGGAAAATATTTTTCATGAGGAAGTCATTTTCTGATATTTGGTATGATGGAAGAAAATGTTTTCCATCAAAAGGAGTAAAATGACTTCCCTACCTTATTGGTGAAAGTCATTTTCCTTACAACAATCTTTAACTTTTAACTTAATATTACTTTGCATTATTATTAATCTCTAGAACTCAAAATTGCATCATAATACTCTTCAATTTGTTGATCTTATTATTAATCTTTAGTACATATTTTGTTTGAACAATATTTCCTACTGACCAACTAAATACCAAAAACATTTTCAATGGAAAATAACTTCCGTCATATCAAACACACCCTAGATGCAGCACAATCATCATATCTTTTGTTTTTTAGTGTAAATGGCCCTTTCTTCAATAGAGATTGTAGGGTTCTGATAAAACCAAAAGCACAAATCAGCTAGTTCCTATAAAGCTACAAGTGGGGAACCCTAATAGCTAAATCATAATTTGCTACTCCATTAAAATACATGGTAGTGTCTCCTATATGGAAGAGGAAAGACAGATACAAGATTCTAAGTCAGTGGAGCTAAATATATTAACTTAATGAGCTTATTTATAGCCATTTAAATAGCTATAACTTATTTTAGAGGAGAAATTACGCTGGATGGACCTTCTTTAAGCTATTATTCATATTTTGACCCTGTTAAGAAACATTCTGGGAAAATAGCCCGCACTAGATTTGCAAATCAAGCTCCTGACAATTGCTAGAATTTTAAAGCACCAGAAATTTAGTATTGTATGCTGAAAATTTTTGGTGATCCGTCAAATGATGAACACCAGATTTTTTTCAGCATTGTGGCTAAAAAAGATTCTAGTATCGTCAGGATTTGACTAGAAATTCTAATGATCAGCAATAACTTGCTAAAATTACGGCGCCATGCTTTTTTTCCCAAAACTTCTATTACCGGGGTCAAAGATGGCACAAAGGTATCATATTTATGTCATTCGCCCTATTTTAGACCCACAAATTTCAAAACTCATTCTCTCTTTCCTAAACTACATGCTCAATCAAACACAAGCCACATAAATTGAGACACCAGAAGTAATAAACCACAATCATATTGACTCAAGATAACGTCACCCCAAATTTTGAAAGAATATACAAAAAGGTAACAACTTAATTAGAATAAATAGATAAATAATAGACAAAAAATACCTTGAGGAAGAGGAATGATTTTTCCCCTCACACTCAGGGCTTTCATAAGGTTTTAGTAATTGCGTTTTGAATTTAATTTTTTTAAATATTTAATAAATTTCTTAATACCTAGACAATACCTAGACAGAGTTTGACTAACTAGCTGTTGGGTTCGACCGGTATGTCGGCTTCTAGCTTCGCCCCTATTCAAAACTCATTCTTTATGTCCTAAACTACATGCTCAAAAATCGGCCACATAAATTGAGACACCAGGAGTAATATACAAAAAGGTAACAACTTTATTAAATAAATAGTTAAATAATAGATTAAAAAAGATACCTTTAGGAAGAGGAATGCTTTTTCCCCTCACACTCAGGACTTTCATCAAAATTGTTAGAAGGGTATTTAGCAGTAACCATTCCAACTTCAAACACCAAATTCTCACCACTAGATCTAATACCCGTAATACCCCACCACTTAAAAAATGCCCTCACGCTAATTCCGTCAAGCTCAGCAATTCGGTTTTCAACAATTTTGCCAGTGATTTTCTTCGAATACGTGGCAAGGTAATTGTCCGGAGGAAGTGTAATTTTACACGTGGCGCCTAGAGAAACAACGAAGTTGCCGGAAGTTTTATTTAGGGCATAGCCGTTCACGTTTATGGGAAGTAGCCCGATAGGAAACCCGTATTTGATTAGCTCTCTATGTGCCTCAGATGGAGTCGGGTTCGGGTTTGCAGAGGATAAAGAGATGGTGAAAAGGAGAGGAAGAATGGTGAAGAATAAGAGGGTTTTTTCCATTTTTAGTGTGCGTGTGTGTGTTTTGAGGTTTCGGAATTTGCTGGGAAGAAAAGGGAGATGGNTATATATATATATATATATATATATATCACTTAGGAATTCACGTGTACCTTTTTAATCGCCAAGTGACTCAAAAAAGGCCACGTATGTGACGAGAACTTTTTTCTTTCTTTTTCCTTTCCTTTATTATGTTCAACACTTGTTTTTAAGGTTTTGGGCACGTACGTTGCACGTATAAGCCGCGTTTATTTGTAAGAAAATTATCTATCACACAAATGAGCTGTGTGTAATAGTAATTGATATCAAAATGGATTGAACATGAAACTGAAATGAGAAGACGAGTGTCATTACATTGATTTAATAGATAAATTATTTTGAACCTGCAAACATCAACACTGTAATTAATTAAGGTCGTGATATGTATAGGATTTGTAATTATAAATAAATATATCGTATGAGTAAATAACATGTTATGTTGTTGTATCTTACCTAATATCTCTTTGTAGACAATATTCTTGGTGTATGTGCAAATTCGTCTCTTTGGTTCATCTGTCATGACCAAAACTCTTGTTGTTGACTCGGTATGTTGTACCCTTAACCTCAAAAAGGGCTACAATAGATTTTTCAAACATCATATTTTGGAGCATATCACCATCTTTTTCTGTTATTTCTCCCCATGAAGTTACAGTTTGACGATTTTACTTGAGTTTTACAATTCAATATTATATTAACTATAGTTAATACATTTGATCATTTAATAATATGATATTAAATGAATAAGTTAACTAACTTTAATTTACGTTTCGTTCATTAGCATTATTTCTCTTCGTTTCTTGTTACCATCTCCGATGGAAGCATTAACTTTCACTAAGATACCAAGTGTGTCTGCAAAAGAATATTAATAGAGAATATATGTAAATAACTACTAAGAATTATTAAGTAAATATTATATATAATGTAAGATTAATCAATGAATCTAAAGAAATTATCAAATATTATTCCATTGGTGCATTGGACTACCTCTTCGAACGAAACAAAACTATTTGAGAAGCTAACGGTGGAAAACTGGTTGTTGCATTTTTTGACTATAGTATTGTTACTGAACACAATCTCAAAGTCTTTGTGTATTGAATGAAAATTAGGTTTACGATCATTTATGCGGTCGTTAATGATGTAATAGATATTGCCTTGTTCTAAATGTTCCTTCCACATATTCACTTGATTAGTGAAAAGTATTGCTTGCATTTTTGTTCCCTGTAAAATTTTATCATAATTTAATATAGTGATTGAACATAATACGAAAAATATCGGATATAATTGAAAGATAAAAATAACATTACTTTCTCATCTACAAATATCAGAGTCCATTGAAGGCCTTGATTTGTTTCATTTTTAAATTCTTTAACTACTTCACATTGAATAAGTAAGACTTTTATTATCCATTGAGAATCAGATCTTCTCAAACTGTTAAGTAGCACACATTCGTTTGCAAATTCAGTTTCAGTTGCCATTGCGAGTACCTGAAATCAAGTGTGAACAGGTGGTCTAATATCCAAAAGGTAGTAAAGTCATAGAAGACATTCATAATTATAAAAATTTTATTTAAAAGAAGATTTAAAGGAAATATTTAGACCAATTATAAGGATAACTAATGCACTAAAGTATATTAATCCAACCACAATGTGCCAACTACTTAAATTGAGGATTAATAAATTTTTTATGACATATACAAGAACACGCCTCAAAATTGTTATTACATATACAAGAACACAACTCATTGATCATGTATAATTGTTATGCATAGTAAAAACTAACTTTTCAATAGTAGCATAAATAACAAATAAAGCCAAAGCAGTTAAATTAGCATATAGTTTATGTAAATTGATAATACAGAATATCCCAATCTCAAATTTTGAAAAGTAGTAGAAAAATCATAGTTGAACTGCAAGAAAGCTACATAACTTTCATAACATAATATATTCATCATAACAAGAAAATTATATAAAATATTATTTATGAGACCGATAAGGAGAATTGTTTACCTGAACCAATGAAAATTGTCAAAACTTTAGGTAGATTCAGCGACGCCAATTGTCAAGGGCTATTCTTTAAGAACACAATTTTAAAATTGTGATATATATACTATAGTCAATTAGAAGAGATAATAAATTTAATTTTGTGAGAAAATATGAGCAACTTCAGATGGCATTACAATTAATGATTAAAATTATACATCAACCATAGAGTGTGGCATAATAATTAGTAATTAAAATTATATATCAACTATAGAGTGATAAAAATCTTAATTAATAAAATAAGTAACTTGATATGAGTTAGAATACCTAACCAATTTTATGTGATGAAAGCAACGATCCAAACAATCTGTACAACATTTGTAAGTGACTTTAAACCAATGATCATACATGAGACATAAACCAATGATCATATATGAGACATATAGTTGAATTATTACATAACTTCAAGAATATAGTATAAGATAGAAATTTACCGAAGTGACAAGCAAATTCGCTATGGGGACGTTAGTTTATGACAAAGAATGTAGAATAATAGCTTCTTTTATAGTTATAAAATTCTAGAAACCTAAATTGATTCCAAAACAAAGAGTAAAAACGGAAGGGACAATCCTAATACGATATTGATTTCAAAACATTGGGAAGAAACGAAAGGAAAAGCCTAATTCGATCAGTAAACTTTGAAGAAATTGAGTTCTAAACTAAGACCAAATAGACAATGGAATTTGAATCCCAAACTGATCAAAAGGGACGTGTCCTAAACTAAGACCAAATAGATAACGGAATTTGAATCCAAGGCTATCAAAAGGGAAGTAAAGGCAAGAATTTCAATCAGGGTAAACTTTGGGCAAGTAGCCGATAATTAGTTTTTTTATTTATTTTGAAGAAAATAATTATTATATTTACAATTATATCCAACATATAATACACTTGCGAAGGGTAAAAAAGGTGAACGGCATTTCGATAGGGCCTTCAAGCTTTTAATATAGTATAGATGATTCTTTTTTTGAAAATTAAATTTGTGATTAAGGATTCGTTGCCTATAAATTTTGTTTCTTTTTTTTTTTGGAAATTTTTTTACAAAAACCTATTTGTCTATGAATTTTTTAAAATTTTTGGAGATTTTTGAAAATGAGTTTTTTTTTTAAATCAGAAAAGGTTATTTTGACTACTTTTTTAAATTTTTTTTTTTCTCATTCACAAAACTGCAATATTTTTTCATGTGACATACATGTCCAAACAACATTTTAAATTTTAAATATTATTTTTCAACTTAACTTCAAATACTATTTTTTTAAATTATAATTTTTATATCCAAACGCCTATTAAGTTTTCATTTGAACATTGATTTTTTTAATTTTTTCAAAAAAACAAAAAAAATATTATTTGTTTATAGAATTTGATGAGTTTCTGAAAATGTTTTGAAGAAAAAATTTCAATTTCCAGAAAATTGGTTTGTGCCAGTTTTTGGGTAAAATGTTTTCTTTCACTCATAAAATTTCAACCTCTTTTCTAGTAAAATACATTTTCAAATACAACTTCAACTTCAAAAATTATTTTTCAATACAATTTAAAAAATAATCAAGTTTCAATCAAATTTATGCCCAAAGGAAAACGCTAGCTAAATATAGTACTATAATATTTATTTTGTTTCAACAAAGGAAAAGGCTAGTATTATCTAATATAAAAATATATTAGAAAGTGATAGGGTGATAGCCTTATGTTGTAAAATCCTACTCGATACTCTCTCTCTCTCTTGATCTGTAAAATTGTATCGCTACTATTTTATCAAATTATGAACTAAACATTACCCCCATTTTATATACTTTTTTTTTAATTTCCCACTCTGTTCATCTCTTCTCTCCAACCTTTTAAAGATATAGATCTTTTCTTAACATATCTTTCTTTAACCTCACCCTGGACGCAGTTAATTATATTTGCCCACTTTAACGTCTTTCTGATAATATTTTGGGCTCATCTTAATTGATCTCTCCTAAAAATTTACAGGTTAATCCATCAGGGTTATTAAGAAGTTGGAAAGGTAATCAAATACTTAGAGTGATTTTTTAGTTATTTGCAAACTAGCAACTAAGAAATTAAAGATATAAAGACATAATATAAAGCTTTAAATAAATCGGGATAATAAACAGAAATATAATTTATAAAAACAGTAACTTACATGTTTACAAGAGAGAGAATTCCCTTTCGTTAAACCCGAAGAGTTTACTGGACTTGAAAATAAAAACTTGCACACTAAAGCATAAAACTTTATTTATTTTACATACTTGACATAGAAAACTAAAGTATACATAGGGAAATATTTTTCAAAGAGAGTTGTGGAGAATGATTTTTCTGGTGTAGGTGAAGGGAATGGTGAAGGGAAGAGAGTATGTTTTTCTTCGGATGGTGGTTGTAGTTGTTATGTCTTCATGAAACACTCAATTTATAAGTGTTGTGGACTTCACTTCCGGACTTCATTTGGTTTGAAGAATCTTTCTTTTTTCTTGTTCACGTGAAGTCTTGTCACGACCCAAAATCCAACTAGTCGTGATGGCACCTAACCCAACCCGTTAGGTAAGTCAACTTTCAATTATCCAATTCTAATAATAATTATTAAAGTAATTTAAGTGAATAAAGATCTTAATCTTATACATCCCCCAAGAACTGGTAGTACAAATCATGAGCTTCTAAGAATAGAGTATACAAAACGAAAATGAAATAAATACATAGTCTGTTTGAATAATACATAAACAGAGCTTTTATAAATCTAAGGCTACCCTGAACAAGAGGCAGCTACAACAGGAATGCAGGTACATCTTTAAATCCGGCAACCATCGAACACAGCAACAACGACAGCCAATATCTGCACGCAATGTGCAGAAGTGTAGTATCGGTACAACCGACCCCATGTACTGAATAAGTAACAAACCTAGCCTTAGGTTGAAAGTAGTGACAAACTTCTACCAAGTTCGGGTCCAAAATCACTAGTCCACAACAATCCTTAACAATATAAAGCAAATAATACGAG